GCCGTTTTGGGTGCCGTATAAAGAACCATCGCGCGCGCTTCGCGCGCGCTCAAGTTCTAGCTAGCTTGAAGGATAGCGCGTAGCGAAGGATAGCGCGATGCGGCTCTTGGGCCGTCTCGGGGCTCTCTTCGAGCCTGTTTTGGGCTTCTTGGGGGCCTCTTGGGGACTCTTGGGGGCCTCTTGGGGCCTCTTGGGGACTTCCTGGGGGCCTCTTGGGGCCTCTTGGGGGCATGTTGGGGCGGAAAGCTTGATTTTTCAGTTTGCGTTCCCTCTCTTGGGCCCCTCTTGGGGCCTTCTCGGGACCCTCTTGCGCCGTCTTGGGCGGCTCTGGAGCCGTCTCGGGGCTCTCTTGGGCCGTCTTGGGGACCTTTTTGGGGCCTCTTGGGCCGTCTTGGAGCGGTTTTGGGAGCCTCTTGGGCGGTGCTTTAGCGCTGGAAACACGAAACAGCGAGAATGCAAAAATAATAGTGACCCAAACAATGAAAATCAACGATTTGCCCTCTCGGGGCGTTCTTGGCTGCATCTTGAAGGCCTCTTGGGGCGTCTAGGGGGCCTCCGGGGCAGTTTAAAACGCATCGTGCGTCGCCAAAGACCCCTGGACGGCGTCTTGGGGGTGTCTCGAGACCGTCTGGCGCCGCCAGGATTGCTGTCTGAGGGCTCCCCGGGGCGATTTTAGGCTTCTCAGAGGCGGGCCCGGGCCCTGGGGCCCACATTTGCGGTCGAGGTTCCGGCCCTCGGCCACCGGGCCGCGTGCGCCCTTCTGTGTACATGCGATACGATGCTATGCTATGCTATGCTACGCCATACTGTGTGATGCGATGGTACGCTATTATATGCGATGCTATGCTATGCTATGCTATGCGATGCTATGCTATGCTATGCCATGCTCTTCTATGCTGTGCTGTGCGATGCTATGCAATGCTATGCTCTGCTATGCGATGCAATGCTATGTTGTAGCTCCAGTTGGCCCCCCCTTCCTCCCCCCTTCACCACACACACAACCTCCGTATCACCCGAAGGGTGGTCGTACATGTAGGTATTAACTGGCAGGATCTCGCGGCCAGAGACGCAACCGCCTCGCGCAAACTTGCCTGGAATGGGAACGATCTTGGAGGAGCGGGGAGGGGTGCGGAGTGGGGTGTCTTGCGGGCCTCTTGGACTGTCTCAGAGCGCACTGGGATCCACAGGCGCCTACTGAGGCCGTCTTGGAGGGCTCTGTGGGACGTCTTGGGGCGATCCTGCGGGCTTCTTGTGCCGTTTTGGACGCCTTTTTGGGATGTCTTGCGGCGATCTTGGGGTTATCTCAGCGCCTTCGGGCCCTCCGAAAGCCCCCCGAAGGCCCGCAATGAGTCCCGGACCCCGAGGGACACAGTGGGCACCGCGGGGGGATGGGGGAGTTTTGGAAAAGTGGGCCGCCTCGGGCCCCAGAGGCCTAGTCGCAGGGTCCGCATGGTGATGGTGGGCAACATCGTCCGCACCGTCCGTTGTGAGGTTCCTCGGGGCTGTTTGGGAGCCTTTTGAAGCCTCGTTTGGGCCTCCTGGGTGCCTCTTGGGGGTCTCCTGGGGCCTCTTGGGGGCCCTTTGGGGCCTCCCGGGGCCCTGTGGAGACGGGAGGCTCGAATTTCCGGTTCGCGGTTCCCCTCTTGGGGCCCTCTTGGGGCCATCTTGGGCCTCTCTTCGCCCGTCTTGGGCGCGTCTTGGGCCGTCTTGGGGCCCTCCAGAGCCGTCTTGAGGCCCTCTTGGAGGCCTGTTGGGCTGTCTTGGGGCGTCCGCGGGGGGCCTTTGAGCCGTCGTGGAGCGTCGGAAAGCTGAAAAGGCGGGAAAGGCAAAATGTATCCCAAACCTTGTAAAATGAACGATTTTGGCTTCTTGGGGCCCTCTGGGGGGGCCTCTTGGAGGCCTCTTGGAGCGTCTTTGGCCGTCTTGGGCTTATCTTGGGCATCTTGGGGCCCTCTTGGCGCCCTCTTGGGCCTCTTGGAGCCTGCTGGGCCCGTCGTGGAGCGCTCTTGGGGCACTCTTGGGCCGCCTGGGCTGCTCCAAGGAGGCTCCAGGCCCCCCCGGTCCCGCCATGAGGGGTCGGGGCACCTGTCCTGGGGCCCCCGGCCTCGCCCGCAGGGATATATATATATATATATATATATATATATATATATATATACTGCGTTGTAAAGGAAAAGCGCTCTTTGTAAAGGAAAATTACTGCTTGTTGTACAGGAAAAGCGCTCTTTGTAAATCTGAAATTAAGCACTGCGTTCGGAATGCAGAAAGAAAACGGATTTTGCAAGAACGCAGCACTTCGCGAGAAACACTACGCAATAGACACATTACGAACAAAAAACGTCGTAACAAAACACCACGTAATAATAGTATGTTGTAAATAAAAAACGCTCTCTTTTAATACAAAAATAAAGCACTGCGTTAATAATGCGTTAATTAAACTGCGTTTACAAAAACACTACGCTTCGCAGGAAACACAACGCAGGAAACACTGCGCAAGAAACACTACGCAGGAAACGCTACGTAAGAAAACGAACAATCGCTATTGATATCACACTACTTAAAAAAGCTCTCGTAATCGACCGCGAGACGTCAAGCTCCGGTGCCTGCCCAGCAGTCCCCCCGGGGCGAGATCCCCAGGCCCACGCCGGAGCCCCCCTTCGGCCAGGCCCCCCTTCGGCGGAGACCTCTCCCCCCCCCTCCAGCCCCCCCCCCTCCCTTTGGGCGCCCCCCCCCCGCCCCCCCGCCCTGGCCCCCGTTGCCCCCCCCACAAGCCTCGAGGGGGAGCAAAAGAAGCTTAGGGGGAGAACAAGAAAACCCTCCGAGGGAAAAAATATAAGCGATGCCAAGCAAGCATCCCGAGCCGCACGGACTCCCAGTTGCCCTCAGCTGACCCCTCAGTCGCTTCAAGGGAGCCTCGACTCGGCCGACGCCTTCTGCGCTTCAGGGCTCATGGGCCCCTCGAGGCCGTCTGCTGGACTCTAGAGGCCTCTCGACCCCCTGAGACGCCCAGATGCACCTGAGACACATTGCAACGAATGATGCCAGCTCTCCTCGAGCCCAGACCCCGAACACCCACTGGTTGCAGAATCTGCCTGCGAGCTTCTCCTGGGGACTCGCCGTGACTCCCGCTCTGTCGGCTGAACCCTGCAGCCCCTGGACGAAATCGTGCTGCTCATACTCGTCCTGGGGCTCATGGGAGGAGAAGCACGAGGAGGAGGAGGAGGAGGAGGAGGAGGAGGAGGAGGAGGAGGAGGAGGAGGATCTCGAGGAGGAGGATCTCGAGGAGGAGGAGGAGGAGGAGGAGGGGGAGGAGCAGGAGGGAGGGAGAAGGAGGAGGAGAGGAGGAGGAGGAGGAGAGGAGGAGGAGGAGGAGGAGGAGGAGGAGGGGAGGAGGAGGGAGGAGGAGGAGGGAGGAGGAGAGGAGGAGGAGGAGGAGGAGGAGGAGGAAGAGGAGGGGGAGAGGGCGGGCCCCCCCTGTGAGCCCCAGCCATACAGAGACGCGTGCGCAAAGCATGCCCGGAGCGCGCACTCCGCCCATCCATTCTGTGAAGGAGCCCAGGACACACCCATAAATACACACCAAGAGAACATATGTTCCCATATTTTCTGGGTTTCTGTCTTCCCCCCCATTTCCCATATTTTCCCATATTTTCTGAGGAATCGAGGATTAATTGTGTCTGTGTGTGTTTGTCCTCTCCTGATTCTGCTCGGCTCCCTTCGCATGTGTAACAGAACAGGGATCCGCGCTTGCAGACCCATGGGGCCCCAGAACATGCGCATGGCCTGGGCCTCGAGCCTCCGGGGAGCTGTCAGATCAATGGCGGTTGGTAATTCAACTACCTTTGAAGCCTTAAATACGGCAAACTCCTCACACACGTCGTGCATCATTAGCACTCCACTTGCCCCCAAACAAACTCCTTGCGGTCTCAAGCCGGCACGAACAGTACGCATTCCGCGCCCCATGGACCTCCAGGGGCAATCCGCTGGCCTCGGCACAACCCTCACGCACGTCGTGCCTCATGGAATTCCAGGGACCCTCAGCTGACCCCTTAGACGGTTGAAGGGAACTTCGATTCGGCAAACCACTCCGCACTTCGGAGATAATACGTCCTCAAAGGCAGTCTGATGGCTCCAAAGGCCACCTGTCCCCCCGAGGGATACCAAAGTGGCCTTGAGAACAAACAAACATTTGCACCGGCTTTCGTCGAAGCCATGCCCTACACTGATTGCAAACACTGCGTGCGAGCGCCCCCTGGGGGCTCGCCGTGACTCCCGCTCTGCTGGCCGAATTCGGCGGGCCCCCTCTGTTGAGTACCAGTCACGGATCGTGAGATGCATGCATAAAGCATGCTCGGAGCCAACGGTTCTACACGATGATCCTTGGATGCGTAAACATACCAGTGACCCGCGCTCTCAGGCTCCTGGGACACGTGGACATGTGCATGATTTGGGCTGCGATGCTCCTGACGTTTACCCAACACCTAGTCCAACATCCTGGCCACACGGAAGATCTTAGAAGGAACGGAAGCTGCGGTGGTTCGACGCAAAGCGTCCTGTCTCCAACGGTGCACGTGGCTGTGCAGGACCGGACCGCAGCCGAGAAGAGAACGAAAATACAGGGGAAGAGGCTACTAAACACACCCTCAACACGACGAGCGGGCGATACCCTGGCCGCTTCAGCCACAAGCTGGCCCACTCAACGTCGCAAATTACGTACACATCGGGCCCGCGGGCTCTGCGAGACCCTGCCGGCTGCCCTCTGCGGATGGCCCGCGGCGCGGCCCGCGGCCCCGCACGCTGTCCAACAGCTCATACACATGCCGCCCAGTGGCCAGCTTGGACCCGATTCCCAGCCCCAGTCCAAACCCACAGGCGATGTCAGGGGTGTGCCCTCAGACACTGGGGGGATCCTTGGGATCGGCATCGAAATCGGGTGGCGCCAATCGGATGACTAGGGACATGCTCCAGGCTGGTCATCCCGAGCTGCTCCTCAGCTGCCTCTAACACGAATTGCACGGGCGCCTGCTGCCCCTCGCCGACAGCGACCTCCCGGCGCTGAAAGGGTCGGTCTGGGCCCGCGCGGCACGGGCGTCTGGGCGCGCGGGCCGCCCCGTCAGTTCACTGCCGAGCTGGTTCGGGCCCGCGCGGCACGGGGACCTCGTGCGGTCGTCGAGGTCGGGCGGCGTGCCCTCTGGCAGGACGGGCTGGCCGCGGGGACGGGTGATTCGTGGCAAAGCGGCGTTCCGCTCCTTACAGGCCCTCCCGAATCTATCCCAAAATGGATATGGTATAGATATGTTTTAATTGTGTCCTAAACGTGATATACTTTTGATGCATGTACATCAAATGCAGGGGTTATTGTAGTCCACGCGGTGCAGAATATGCGGTGCACTGTGTGCGATGCAACCTACGTGATGCAATATACGCTGTGCAACCTGCTTGGTGCAATCTGCGCGGTGCAACCTCTGTAATGAAAACTATGCGGTGCAGTCTGTGTGGTGCAATTAATTTCTGTTCGCAGTGAGTTGTCCACTCCACTGCTCGCGCAAACATCCCACCCACCCACCCGCAACTTGGTTTGCAAAATCTCTTGAGACCGTGACGGTGGGTACCACATGGCACTTGGCAACAACAGCGACGCCGACGACGACAGCGACAACGACGATGACGACGCCGCCGACAACGACTACGACGACACCGACGACGTCTCCAACGACTTCGACGACGCCGACAACGACGACGACGACGACGACGACGACGACGACGACGACGACGACGACGACGCCGACGACGACGATGACAACGACGACGACGATGACGACGCCGACGACGACGATAACGACGACACCGACGACGACGACGTCAACGACGCCGACGACGACGACGACGACGACGACGACGGCGGCGACGACGACGACGCCGACGTCGACGACGACGAAGACGACAACGACGCCGACGCCGACGACGACGACGAAGACGCCGACGACGTCGCCAACGAAGAAAAACGAGGAAGGAGGGAGGACGACGACGGCGACAACGACGACAACGACGAGGGAGGAGAGAGGACGGCGACGACGCGAACGACGAAGAAGGAAGGACGGCGACGCCGACGACGGCAACGACGAGGGAGGAGGGAAGACGACGAGGACGACAACGACGACGACGACGACGACGACGGCGACGAAATAGGAGGGACGACGACGAGACGCCGACGACGGACGACGACGACGACGAGGGAGGAGGAGGAAGGACGACCACGGCGACAACGACGACGGAAACGACCACGACGCAAAAGAGGACGACGACGAAGAACACGAGGAAAGATAGAGGACGACGTAGGCGACGACGACGACGACGACAACTACGCGGGAGGAGGGAGGACGGCGACGACGACGACGACGACGCAAGAGCGCGCGCGCACGCTTTTGTTGAAACTCCGTGCTGCGACACCTTGTGTTTTTGTAGGCTTTTTGGACACACGATCTTGAAATCCTTCCGACACCGATGGGTTTTGAAGGTTTAACCTAAGGTTTTCCTACGCAAGAGCGCGCGTACACTTTTTTTAAGATCCATGTTGCGAAACTCTGTTTTTTGTTTAAAAATGCTTGTGGACACTCGATTTTGAAATCCTTCCGAAAACGAAGGTTTTGCAAGGAGCTCGGCATGCGCGCGCGACGACTCGCGCGTGTGCACTTGGTCCCATGGTTTGCAAGGGACTCTTGAAACTTATGATTTTTGCTAAACGAGTGTCGTCGTCGTCGTCGTCGTCGTCGTAAGTGTCCTGGTTGACGTCGGTGGTCGTGGTCGTCGTCGCGGTGGTCGGCGTCCTCGTGGTCGTGGTGGTCGTCGTCGTCGTGGTCTTGGTCGTCGTCGGTGTCCTGGTCGTCGTCGTGGTCGGTGTCGTCGTCGTTGTCGTCGTCGTGGTCGGTGTCGTCGTCGTTATCTTCGTGGTCGTGGCCGTGGTCGTTCGTGATCGTCGTCCGTGGCCGTCATCGGCGTTCACGCGCTCGCGGTTGGCGTTGTCGTCGTTGCTCCTCCTCCTGGATGCTGGATACTGGTGTTTCCAGAGTTCCTCATGCTCCCCCTCCTTTTCCTCCTCTCGTCGTCCTACTCCTCATCCTCCACCTCCTCCTTCTGCTCGTTGTCATCTTCCTTCTACCCCCCCGCTCCTGCTCCCTCCTGCTGCTACTACTGCTCCTGCTCCTGCTCCTGCTCCTGCTCCTGCTCCTGCTCCTGCTCCTGCTCCTGCTCCTGCTCCTGCTCCTGCTCCTGCTCCTGCTCCTGCTCCTGCTCCTGCTCCTCCTCCTCCTCCTCCTCCTCCTCCTCCTCCTCCTCCTCCTCTTCCTCAACAGCGCACAAGGTGGCCCAAGAACTGGCGGCAATTGCGCAAATTGCGCAAGATGCTGCACACCCAATGAACTGCCAAGCCTTGTCTGGTTGCGCGTAACCGACAATGCCACCGCGAGCACGTCGACGTCGACGACGGCCACGGACGACGACCACGACCACGACCACGACCACGACCTCGAAAACGACGACACCTACCACGACGACGACGACGACGACGACGACGACACCGACTACGACGACGGCCAGGACACCGACGACGACCAAGACCACGACGACGACGACCACCGCGACAACGACCACGACAACGACAACGACGACGACAACGACTGCGACGACGGCGACCGAGACGAAGAACACAACTACGACGACGACGACCACGACCGCGACGACGACGACAACGACGACGACCACGATGATGACGAAGACCAGGGCGATAAAGACCACGATCACGGCGACGACCACGACCACGACTACGCCGCCGCCGCCGACCACAGACAAAGACGACGACGAACACGACGACGACGACGACGACGATCACCACGACGACGACCACGGGCCCCAGGCAACCGCGAGGTCTAGCCTGGGTGCGCGTGGCGAGCGAACGTGGAGACGACTGCGCAAGTGGCAACACCCCCAAGGAACCGCGAGGTTGACTCTGGGTGCGCGTGGGACGCCACTCTGCTGATCCTCCCAAGAACACAGGAGCGTGGCGACAACTGCGAAACTTGCTGCACACACAATGAGCCGCGAGGTGTGGTCTGGTTGCGCGTCACTGATCCCCCCCCACCCACACGAGCCCACGAACGTGGCGATCAAGGCGCACCCCAGAGAGCAAGCCGCGGAGTCTATTCTGGGTGCCCGTGTGACGCCATTCCGCTGGACCCCACACGAGCCCACGAAAGTAGTGACGGTTACGCAAATGGCAGCACCACCAGGGGTCCCTGAGGTCTAGTCTGGGTGCGCGTGTGACGCCTCTCGCTGCGCCTCCCAGGAGCTCAAATGTCGACACTTGCGCAGATGGCAACACCCCGAGGGAGCCTCGAGATTTTGAGCAGGTTCGCATACGACGCCGCTCCGCTGGACCCCGCAGGGGTCCACAAAAAGGGCTGCACATGCGCAGGTGGCAATACCCCCAAGGGGGCCGCGGGGTCTAGTCTGGAGCCTGGGGGCGCGTATGACGCCGCTCCGCTGGACCTCCCCACGAAAACGGCGACGCTTGCGCAAGGGGGAAATCGGAAGAAAAACGGACGCCGGAGGATAGGGTGAACAACCAAGGGGGTGTTATATGAATGCACCTACGTCTTCGTTCACTGAGTTGACTGATTGAGATAAGACATGCAAATGCTGATGTGTTCATGTGTTTGCTGAGTCTGGGTTGCGTTCGAGTGTTGAAACAAGCTATTGTGTTTCACGTTTGTTGAAAACGTAGTTCATTCGGTAGGACGCCTTGGGGTGGACGTTATAAACCTGGGGGTGGCCGTGTTGAGGGGAAAACCTGTAGTTGGCGCTGAGAATTCCATCTAAAACCAAAGCTGCATAAACGCACATGCGAAGCCCAACTTAATAGGTTGTGTATGCCACGCGCACCGCACTCACAGAACCACTGGACGCGCCGCACGAATGATGTTTCTGTTGTTAGAAAAAAAGAGACCGTTTCAAACAATAAGCGTCATTGGAAAGGTTGAACAGGTTTTCTCACATCTTGGTGACAAACACGTTTCTTTGATCGTATATCTATATGTGAATATATATATATATATATATTCATACATATGTGTGTGTATGCGTGGACAATGCGTTTGCGCTCATGATGTGCAATGTAAGATAGATTTGAGCGGCCCTTCAAGTCGTCCTCGCTGGCGATCCCGCTGGTCCGATGGAAGATCATGCCCGCCTTGGAAGACTTCGGGGAATCCTCGAAGAGATCGGAGGTCAACTCGCTGTCGTTCGTGTGGTTGCTCATTGCCGAATCGCTAGTCAACTCAATTCTGGGCAACAACTCGGGCGACATGAACTGGATGCCGGGGCGCAGCTTGGAGATCCCCGTGAAGAGGCCCTTCGTCTCCGGAAGGCGGCTGAATGTCAATGAAGCTGGAGGCTCGGGAGGACAAAGACCAAGGGGCCTACAGATCCTGCCAGCGGGGGGGTCGCCAGGCGGCTGGCGCGGCACCGAATGATGTAGCCACCTGCCCGCGATGATGGGGTTACCGAATCGAAGCGATACCGCTAATCCCGGATCTCTCCCAAGATATCCAACTAGCCTGACGAAAGACCCAACCATATGCAGCTGCGAATACCGCATTGTGGGTACCGTTTTCGGTGGAGCTCCCTGTGGGGCCACGAACCGCGAAGGGGGTGTGCCAAAATGGGTATCAATCCCCGCATGCGGCCTGTGCCGCTGGGACCTTCGGTGGAGCTCCCTGTGGGGCCACGAACCGTGTCAAGGGTGTGCCAAAATGGGCGCGGTCCCCGCGTGCGGCCTGTGCCACTGGGGCCTTCGGTGGAGCTCCTTGTGTGGCCACGAACCGTAAGAGTAAGAGGGGTGTGCCAAAATGGGTGCGGTCCCCGCATGCGGACTATACCACTAGGTCCTTCGGTGGAGCTCCCTGTGGGGCCACGAGCCGTGTCAAGGGTGTGCCAAAATGGGTGGCGGTCCCCGCATGCTGCCTGTGCCACTGGGGCCTTCAGTGGAGCTCCCTGTGGGGCCACGAGCTGTGTGAGGGGTGTGCCAAAATGAGTGCGGCCCCCGCATGCGGACTGAACCACTGGGGCCTTCGGTGGAGCTCCCTGTGGGGCCACGAACCGTGTCAAGGGTGTGCCAAAATGGGTGGCGGTCCCCGCTTGCGGCCTGTGCCACTGTGGCCTTGGGTGGAGCTCCCTGTGGGGCCACGAACCGTGTCAAGGGTGTGCCAAAATGGGTGGCGGTCACCGCGTGCGGCCTGTGCCACTGTGGCCTTGGGTGGAGCTCCCTGTGGGGCCACGAACCGTGTGAGGGGTGTGCCAAAATGGGTGCGGTCCCCGCATGCGGCCTGTGCCACTGGGGCCTTCGGTGGAACTCCCTGTGAGGCTACGAACCGTGTGAGGGGTGTGCCAAAATGGGTAGCAATCTCCGCATGCGGCCTGTGCCACTGGGGCCTTCGGTGGAGCTCCCTGTGGGGCCACGAACCGTGTATAAGGTGAGCCCAATTCGGTGCGGTCCCCGCATGCGGCCTGTGCCACTGGGGCCATCGGTGGAGCTCCTTGTGGGGCCACGAACAGTGCGAGGAGTGTGCCAAAATGGGTGGCGGTCCCCGAATGCGGCCTGTGCCACTGTGGCCTTCGGTGGAGCTCCCTGTGGGGCCACGAACCGTAAGAGGGGTGTGCCAAAATGGGTGGCGGTCCCCGCATGCTGCCTGTGCCACTAGGGCCTTCGGTGGAGCTCCCTGTGGGGCCACGAACAGTGTGAGGGGTGTGCCAAAATGGGTGGCGGTCCCCGAATGCGGCCTGTGCTACTGGGGCCTTCGGTGGAACTCCCGGTGGGGCCACGAACCGTGTGAGGGGTGTACCAAAATGGGTAGCAATCCCCGCATGCGGCCTGTGCCACTGTGGCCTTCGGTGGAGCTCCCTGTGGGGACACGAAGCGTGTGAGGGGTGTGCCAAAATGGGTGCGGTCCCCGCATGCGGCCCGTGCCACTGGGGCCTTCGGTGGAGCTCCCTGTGGGGCCACGAACAGTGTGAGGGGTGTGCCAAAATGGGTGCGATGATGCTGATGGTGACGATGAGGAGGAGGAGGAGGAGGAGGAGGAGGAGGAGGAGGAGGAGGAGGAGGAGGAGGAGGAAGGGGAGGAGGAGTGAGGTGACGTGGGGCGCTGTCTCTTCAAAACGAGGACCCAACACCACAGGATGGTTGGGAACAACTCAGGTTCCCCCCGACACCATTCCTGGCACATCACCAGTAGTTACCTCGCGGAGGAGGAGGAGGAAAGGGAGGAGTGAGGAGGAGGCGGAGGAGGAGGAGGAGGTGACGCGGGGCGCTGTCTCTCTTCAAAACGAGGACCCAACACCACAGGATGGTTGGGAACCAAACACGAAAACGAGGGAAGGGTAGCGGCATGGGGTATGGGTACTGATTCCTCCTTTGACCACCTGCCCGCACTGGGTCGCCCGCGGGTCATCTTTGGGGCCGAAGGTTGCTTCGGCGCAGGAGCCACGCTGGATTTCTCTGGCCAAGCTGCCGCCGGCCTCGGTCGCGAGAACTCCTCGCCAACGGCCGGGAGACTGACGCCCGCGAGGCTCGCCATCCTTTCGGGTCTGGTGTGTATTGCAAGATGCTGTCTTGGGCCACAACACTGCTAAAAACAACATGGTTTGAATCAAACGGGAGGCAGTTCTGGGCAAGAACTTGGGTCCGGTTGTGGGCTCTGTTGGACCCCTCTGGTGAGGCCCTCTTCGGGAGTCTCGGGGTCCGCTCAGGGCTGCCTTGGAGCCCTGGTGGTGCCACATCGAAGGCCAACAAGCGCGTTGAAGTACGCACATGGGCAGAATGATCATCGAAAAAGCACATGGGCAGAATGATTCTGGCCCTCTTTGGAGGAGGAGGAGGAGGAGGAGGAGGAGGAGGAGGAGGGCATTCGGTCATAATGCGCCGTCTTTGCAGCCCGATAGGTTGTCTTGGGCCATCTTGGTGCAACCTCGGCGCCGCCGCGTATCAATCTTGCGGCCTCTGGGGGGCCTGGCGCGTTTGGGCACGCGTTAATTGGGGACCGTCGCCCGCTCCTGGCTGGTATATTCGCCCGCTCGTGCCGAGTGAGGTCCGCAGAAAGTGTGGTTCTGGTCTTGGTTCAGGTGGGTAATGCGGGATGGCGATTAATAACAAAATGGGGGGGAACGATTAGAAACATAGTTTCCTGCTGCTTCTGCACATTTTGCTGACTGGAGGAGAACGATGACAAGAAATAGTTTTCCAGCCCGCGGCTGGTTTTTTCTAATCGTCATCCCGGGCGCCGCCGCGTGAACACGACCCCGGGTCATTTCTTAATCGTCATCCTCCATTACTATTCGAATTACGAGTATGTGGTCGACCTATGACTGCGACCAGAATTTGTTTGGGTGACAGCAATCTGGTGCGTCAGTCTATGTCGAGGAAGAATGTCGGACTATGAGACTGTGACTCTAACTGGTCTTGGTCTGGGCATGGGCGGGGTAGGATTACTGTTAATGCCCGACCGCAACTGTGACTGTGACCAGTCTTGGTTTGGGTTCAGGTAGTTCGAGCGAGCTACTCGAAGGCATTCCGAATTCGGCCATGCAGAAAACATGACCAGGACTGTCGCGGTCACAATTGTGGTTCGGGTAGTATTGATATTTTCGGGTTGCATTATTCCCTATCCATATTACCACACGCTGCCAGGAAACCCATAGGGATGGCCACCCCCCTCCCAATATAATATATGGCCCCTGAGGCTATCTCCGGGCCGTCCCCTGAAACCGCTCGGGCCTCGCGTTCGGCTTCCAAGGCCACCTCGCTGGCTTCCAGGAGTTCCTGGGACATGTGAACATACCTTCGAGACGGCCCACGAACTCCCAAGTCGGCTTCAGAGGCCCCGAGCGACCCCCCCACGAAAGCAAGGATTTCTCTTCGGGAACATGCTTATTTCCAGCATGTTGGATTCGAGAGCGTTGAAGCTGGCCCAAGAGCCCCCAAGCTCGCCCTAATATTAGATCGGAGGGTCACCTTGATAACATGTCCGAACCTAAATCTCCAAAACAAATCTTGGACGCTATACAGAACTCAAAAATATCTCAAACCATCGGAAACCTCCCGGAAACTCTCCCGGAAAATCGTGCCCCTTGGAACTGTCCGCGACTGAATCTCCCTGAACATCTTGCCCCTGAAAATCTCCGTGGGAATAACCCCAGGAAGCATTTAAGACCCCCCCCGGCGATATCTTAGCACCGCATTTTTATTCGATATTCCGAGGGGCCGAAATAACCGCACGATAGGTTTAGCACCCGGACACACAACAAATTCGCGGAGGCCTGGCCCCTGGGCTACAATCGAAATTCGAAATTCAAATCTGCGTGGCTCTCATGAAAGACTCAGGATGTCGCTTGCTGCTTGGAAAATTCATGCAATGATAATAGTATTAATCTTCGCAAGCATATTTGATGACTCCTAACGACTTGAAGGAGGGGGGCGCGGGAGGAGGAGGAGGAGGAGGAGGAGGAGGAGGAGGAGGGGGCAGGAGGAAGTTCGTGGGTGGAGGAGAGGAGGAGGAGGAGGAGGAGGAGGAGGAGGATGAGGAGGAGGAGGAGGAGGAGGGCTCCTGGTGCCAGGTAACGCTTCCAGGGTGCGGAAGGGTTATCGATTTGCCGGAAGGGGGGGGGGGGGTTCTTAAATGCTTCCTGGGGTTATCCCGGACACATTTTCCCCTCGGAAATCTCGCGGAAAATCTCCCTGGCAATCTCCCGGGAAATCTTGCCTCTCGGAAGTATCCGTGGACATCTGGGGGGCAGCACCAAATTTGGGCACCCAAATTGAAACCGCGAGGCGGCTCCAGGTCGACAGCGAAAAAACACGGGGATTCGCACAGCGCCGGCTTCGCGCCGCGCGCTGCCGCTCGGCTGGCCTGGCGTTGGCGCCCCTTGAGCGGTCGACTATTCCAAATCCCTTATTATCGGGGAAGGACAGAACCCCCTTTAGTAAAACGCGGTTTAGTGAAAACGACCTGAGGCCCAAACCTGGCGGGCGCAAGCCTGGAAAATAACGGCCACTGCGCCCTCTCGAAAACCGAAAACGGACAATTCACTAATCGACGTGTCAGGGTGGGGGTTCTGTCCACCCCCGATATTAATCGCCCCCCCGGTCCGGTTTTTTGAGGCGCCTTTTTGGTCATTAAGGGGGTCCGGTTTATGAGGTCGCTTTCTTTGGACTGGAGCTGAGGGGGTCTGGTGAATTGAGGCGCCCCATCGAAGAGGGGGTCCGGAATATCAGGTCGCATTTGGAGGGGGGTCTGGTTTTTTAGGGGGGGTCGATTAATAAGGGATTTGGAGTATCATCGGATATCCACCTTGACTACTCCAGGCGAACGTCGCCTAACCCGTCCGCGCCATCTTCGCGCGCTGCTCGTGGAACCATCGGTGGGGCTTGACCTCCATGGTCGGCTCGCTCCCGGCGCTCCCGCGATTCCGCCGGCGCCGCGGATGCTGGCAGTCCTGCGCGAAACGACTCGCGATCGCGATGCTCAGGACGGTCGGATTGCTGTCCTGCTTTTGCGGTCGATCTCCACCCCTTGCTAATTCGCGTGGGCGGGGCGGGCCCTGGGGTCCCCGGACGAGAAGTACGCCGGCAATGTCCTGGGAAACTCGGGCCAGTAAGGTTTTTGTCCTGGGGGCGGACCTTAGCCCCGCCAGGACAGCGCCAGAATCGCCCAATCAGAAACCCAAGAGCGCCCAAGAGTGGCCCAGGAATGGGGATCAATGGGTGGCAGGCCCCAAGATAGCCTCACGTAGCCAGGATGGTCCCAGACAGCCCCCAAGAGGCCCGCAGGAGGTTTCAATGATTTCGGCTTTCTCGCCTTTTTCCTTCTTACGGCTTTCTCAAGCCATGGGATGCCTCCGCGATCACCAAAGATGGCTCCCAGTGGGGCCGGACCATCTCCAAGAGGGCTCCGAAGACTCTCAGGAGAGGCCCAAGAAGGATCCAAGAGAACCCACCGGCAGCCCCTCCGCGGCGATCGATGGGTGGCACGCCCCGGCATGGCCCCATTGCACCCCCCCGGTGGCCGAAAGATAACCCCGAGGTGGCCCCAGGTGAACGTGGGGGCTCGGCCACAAGAAACCTCCTCCTCCTCCTCCTCTTCCCAATCGTCCTCCTCCTCCTCCTCCTCCTCTTCCTCCTCGTCCTCCTCGTCCTCATCCACTTCCTCCTGCTCCTCCTCCTCCTCCTCCTCCTCCTCCTTTTACTCACCCTCCTCCAACCCTGAAGTCCGCGCTTCGTCCAGTGAAAATCCGCACGTGTCGATCGAAAGTCGCCACGATCTGATTGGGAGCCCATCAGGAGTCCAAGAAACCCAGGGCACCCTGGCAAAATCCCACTGGCTTCTTGGCACGCGCCCCCTCGGCTACCGGCCCGCTGACTTCCGCCCCTGTGAGCAGGGGCTTGGCCCCCCGCCCGGCCCTCCCCAAGGAGGAGTAGTATGAGGAGGAGGAGGAGGAGGAGGAGGAGGAGGAGGAGGAGGAGGAGGAGGAGGAGGAGGAGGAGGAGGAGGAGGAGGAGGAGGAGGAGGAGGAGGAGGAGGAGGAGGAGGGAGAGACCCAGGGCGCCCTGGCAAAAAATCCAACCGGCTTCTCGGCACGCGCCCCCACCGCAGGCGAACACGCGTGTGACTTTTAACGACCTCGGCGCGCCTGCCCTCTTGCTTCCCATAGGGCCTCCTCGGGCCTCCAAAAGGTGGCCCCGACGTCGCCCCCAGGCTTGGTGAGTTTGGGGCGACTCGGGTAATGGTTTTCGAGCGCCGGCGGGCCCAGGAAACGCAAAACCTCGTGGCGACCGCGTGTCCCCAAACCCGGCGGTGACCCCGAATTATTTCTTTGGGGAAACCCGAATTATTTTTTTGGGGAAACGGGGTCACCACCGGGTGTCTCACCACCTGGTTTGGAGACCACCGACAGGCGGCTCCACGTGTGGGCTGGAGGGGCTCCAAGAGGGCCCCGAAGGATCACAAGAGCGCCCCAGGAGATGCCCCGAAACAGCCCCAGGAGAGCCCGACGGCGGCACAGGAGCGGGATCACTGCGTGACGTGCCCCAGGACGGCCCCGAGGTAGCCCCGATGCCGCCCTGGAGGCCCCCAGGAAGCCCACGAGTCCTTCCAAAACAGATGATTGATTCAACGATTTCGGTTTTTCCGTACTTTTGCTTCCTATGGGCGGGCTTCTCATGCCTCAGGATAGCTCCAACATCGCCTACGATAGTTCCCAGTTGGCCAAGGGGGCTCCGAATACTCACAATATCGTCCCGGGGAACGCTCCAAAGAGTCTCGAAGGTGCGCTATACCGGCACACGACTGGGGATCCATAGGTGGCAGAGCCACAAGAAACATGCCCGAAAGACAGCTCCTGGCCCAGGATGGTCCTGGACAGCCCTCAAGAAGGCCCCAGAGGGCTCAAATCTTTGAAGCAACGAAACATTTCCAATGATGCTGGATTGCCCCCCATTTCGTTTCCTGTGGTCTGCTGAGGCCTCAAGCCAGAAAAGAGAGCCCAAACAGAGTTCCGACAACGCGCCAAACAAGACACAGGCACGTCTAAAAGCAAAGAGCATTCGTTATCACAACCTATGGTGCCACCCCACGAAAAAGCGGTCCAACATGGACCACTACAAAGGGAAACCTGAACGGCCACCACGAGCCCCCAGAAGCCACTGAAGCACTCCCCTTGAAACCCGGAAGCTCGGGATGCACCCAGAAGCATCCATGAATCCCCCAGAAGCCCCCCCCCCTGCCGGTACATATTCATCCCATGCCTCATAGACATGGACAGTTCGTTCCGCGTGCACTTGTATGGCCCCTCGTGGCCTTACCCTCTCACCCATGGCTTTTATTAACGTGTCCAAATGTCAAGCACGATACAACATGGGCTCGCGGAAAGAGCGAAGCGACTAAATACGTGTTGGTCCTGACCCGAAATACGGCTGGTTCATCGAGCGCTTGTACACAAGAGGAGCCAGTGGTGGCATAATTGAACAGAGGAAGCGGCGCAAGCAAGGTGTATCACAAATAGGTGGCGTGGCTGCTGTGAATCAGCTCCCAAATCAATCCTCGCAACAAGAAGGTGGGGGGGGACGACTCTGCAGGTCTCTGTGCTTGATGAAGGAAAAGGGCGGGGGACTTGCCGTCGACAGCGCAAAGAACGGACGGAGACGAGATGGCGAGATGACACCAGTCGGGGACTGGGCCGTGAGAGCTCAGACGCCGAAAAGACACAGAGAGGACCGACGCATTGATGTGTCCCTGCCTCGTTATGCACCGATCCCTTGCGAATCTGAACCGACGCCCTCACTCAGCGCAGAGAATGACTAGCTCATGCCGCTCCACCAGACATCACGCGCGCCTTGGATGGCGCCGACGGACGGCCACTGCACCCATCGGTAATACTGCTCAATCGACTCCTCTGGACCTCCTGAACACTAACCGCCTCAGTGAAATCGCCAGGAGAATTCGGGCAGGATGGCAGGACGGTCAGAGCTCTTGCCATGGCGATTTCATTGAGGGAGCCGGCGCTTGAAATAGAAATCTAGATGAGGCAATTGAACAGAGGCGCAGCGAGATCTGTCAAGCAGCTCCCAAACCCCTGAGGCCACGTGCCTGCGATTCTCTCGCCGATCCTGGCCGCCGCTCGACTGGCCGTGCGCCGCACATCTCGGGGCGCGCAGGACATCTTGCATGTTCGGTCTGAACGAGGCCGCGGCCAGAACGCCAAGCTGATGCGCCGCCAAACGTTCTCAAATCACACTTTGGAGGGCATCCCTAGCTTGTGCGTCCATGGCAAAAGGATGTGCCGAGCGACATGTCATCGCAGCAAAAAGGTCGCCTGCAGTACCTCCAACTCGAGCACGTCGCTGTCCTGGCGATCCTCGCAGGGTATCTGCAACGATGGCTGGTCGCAGGCGGCCTAGAGCATGGATGATGATGCGCTGCTGAACCGATGCCATGACGGGATAATCCGAGCCGTCTGTCAACTCATCTTAACTATCGCTTATCATCGTTGCTGTTTGCACACAACTATGCTCTTCATTCCGAAAACAGGCTGCGCACCGAAGTGGAGTTGAGCCCTTGCCAGCACGCAGGCACGACGTGGATGCGGGGTGCTTCATCGCTGAACGAAGGATCCAAGGTCTCGCGGCACTCCTGTGCAAGGAACTGGTGGGCTATTCGTTTCGCCTTCGTGGGGTCAGGCGGTCCCAGGGCCCGCATCGCTGAATTAATTCATTCATGTTCCGCGAGCCTCACCACAGCAAAGGCTTGAAGAACTCTCCGCGAGCTGGGGAGAATCCTCGAGTCTGTTCGATGACCCTGGATCGCCGCCGCGACTTCCAAAGAAACGCCTCTCGCGGAGAAGCCAGAAACGAAACATGTCCCTGGTCTCTGTGGAGATCCGATGGGCATCATCCGACCCGGAAGCGCGTTTTTTTCTGTATATACACCTCCTCAGACAGCAGCTGCACAGGCCTCCAAACTGCAGAGCCCATGGCCCAGCACTCCTGGGCGGCGCAACGCCTCAACACTGCCCAGGACCTCGAGGGACCGTACGTGGACATTACGTTCGAACCCTGTGGCCCAAGATGCCCCCCAGGCCCCCCGAAAGTAATATCGATGGCGTGGCGACGGGGGGGGGGCGTGAGTGGACAGAAGTATTCGAACCCCGAAGCGCCGCCTCGACTGAGATCAGCACTGACGTCGGGGGCGCGGGGGTGCTTTAGAATCTCCCTCGGATGTGTAAGAGGGTTCGAATCTCTGCTGGAGGGGAGGGGGTTGGGGGGGGGCACAGACCTCCGACGCCGTGCCTTTCCCTCGACGTGGTCGGGGCCCCCCCCCGGGCTGGCGCGGTGGCACGCCGCGTGGGAGGCCTCGAGGTCCCCAGGAGGAGAGCCTCGCCGCGCGGGCCGCCAAAGGGCGCGACGTGTGCCGAGGCCCTCGGAGGGCGCAGTCGCCCGAGGGGCGTCCTCGGAGAACGGCCCGAGAGTCTCAAAACCATGCGCAGAATAATAATATTAATAATAGTAATGATAATAATAATGATGGTAATAAGAATGATCATCATCATCATCATCATCATCATCATCATCATCATCATCATCATCATCATCATCATCATCATCATCATAATACTAATAACAATCGTACTAATATTCACAATCATCAACATCATAATAATATTAACAAGTAGACGAAGAAGGAGATGAAATGACAAACGCTTATGCTTATGCTGTTTTTGTTATTCTTCTGATGCAGTGGCCCCGAATGCCCGCTCGTCCCACCACGCGGTGCGGTCACAACTGGGACGGGAATGATGTCATGGTAGGATTGGCTCAGCATGCGCTTCAGGACTTCCACAGGGTATCATGCGGCCCTCTGGCCCCCTGCAGAGTCCTGGAAATCTTGGAGCATATCGCTATCATGACCTCTGAAGACACCCCAGGACACAAATTCCAGGACTCCCCATGCATTCCCATGTGTTCTGGGCTTTCGTCCTCCCCCCCATTCCAAACTTCCCCATGCCCTCCTGGGAATTGATGCTTCCCTGTGCCTCTGTGTGCTTGTTCCCCCTCCTGGACCCCTGTGCTCTCGGGGATCTTCTGACCCGGGTCAATCCAGACCCGGGTCAGCAAGAAACCAGAAAACTGCAATGCGGGAACAAAAAACTGCAACGCAGGTCTTCGCAAACCCGGGTCAGCCAACATGCGCGGCCGCCTCGCGGCCACGAGCGGCTCGCTGACCTGGGTCAGCCAAGAAGGGGGGTCTCCGCAGGATCCCGCAGGATCCGGTGTCCTGGCTGACCCCCGTTGGCATTGACCCCCGTCTCAAGGCTCGGGTCGGGCGAAAGGGGGGATAGCAAAGGGGGGGTTTGAGAATCAGCTCACGTAGCTGATTTTCCCGGCGCCTCCCGGCGCCGGATGGAGCTATGTATCGAGGAATGGGCCCCTTGGTGAGGCCGAAACCAGCTGCACGCAGCAAATTTCGTAACCCCCCCTTTCCCACTCCCCCCCTTTCGTCCGGCCCGAAAGGCTCATCCGAGCAGCACCGCCCGGGGGAGGCCCCCCCCCGTGGGCCCCGCCGGCCTCTGCCCCCCCGTTCTCGGCGCCCCGGGGCCAGCCGTGTGGTCGCCGGGCGCCTCCCCCCCGACGGGCCCCATGGGGAGCCCGACGGAGGGGGGCGGGCCTCGGGGGGCACGGGTGGAGGACGGCCTCGGAGTCCCAGGCCCGGGTGGTTGCACGCCGGTCGGAAGGAGTGGGTTGAGGCATGAAGTATACGCAGAAGGCATCTATACACCACCACAGTGCCAAGCCAGGGCCATCCTGGCCCTGGCGTGGTGTATACGCCCTCCTGGCCGAGGCCAGGAGGGTCTATACACCATCCTAGGGCCCAGGATGGCCCTGGCCTGGCACGGTGATGGTGTATAGATGCCTTCGTCGGAAAGTAGGAAGGCGTTGACAGTAGATTGGGCTTCCACCCGCCCCCTGAAGAGGAGGAAAGAGGGGACACCGCTCGACTCTTGGAGTAGGAGGGCGCCTGCAGTAGATGAGGAATTGGGCATCAAAGAGTGCCTACTTTCAACGACCGGCGTGTAACTAACTCCGGGCGAGCATAATACCCGGGAGATGATAAAGTGCGGGGATCTGGCGGGGATGGTCCACGATTTTCCCGGGGAAGGTGAAGTTATGATGATGATGATGATGATGATGATGATGATGATGATGATGATGATGATGATGATGATGATGATGATGATGATGGTGGTGGTGGTGGTGGTGGTGATGATGATGATGGTGATCCTGTTAACAGACCCAGAGATGCGATGTCGTGATTTTTCCAGTCCCCAGAAGTCTCGACCCATTCCCCAGAATCCCGAGAGGTCGCCGCGCGGTCTGGCAGCGCACGGTTTTTGGAAGCCTCGGAGTCCCCCATCGCTCGAGGCACCGGATGCTCGGAGAACGACCCGAGTCCCCAAACCGCGCGGTGACCCAGAATCCCCAGTGACTCGCCACGCGGTGTGGTCGAGACACCGCTTCGGGCCCCCCGACTGATGCGACTGACAGCCCCGGGGCCCGACGTGCGGGGGGGGGCCTCCGGTGGCACGGGCTGAGGGAGATCGGCCGCCAGGTCGTGGGGGCCGGAACGAAGCCCGCCCATAACCGGCCCCCACCCGAGCCCCTGCAAACGGGGCGTTAGGAAACTGGGCGGTAGCTGAGGGGCCTCTTCAAGCGAGCACGGGGCCACAAAGCGTTTGCCTCGCACTATAGTGCGTGCTACATCGGGACGACGACAGAAACAAACACGTCGATGCATCCTCGTAGCGCTCGGGGGGGGGGCTTGCCTCGCACCTGTGCGCGGCAAATCCTTCTTTTCAAACAACGCCCCCTCGGCTACAGTGGGGGCTTGGTCACAAGAAACCTCCGCAAGAAACCCAACCCTGAAATCCGCGTTTTGTTCAGTGAAAATCCGCATGTGTCGATCGAAAATCGTCAAGATCTGATTGGGAGCCCATCGAAATCCAAGAAACCCAGGGCACCCTGTCAAAATCCAACTGGTTTCTTGGCACGCGCCCCCTCGGCTACCGGCCCGCTGACTTCCGCCCCGTGCGCAGGGGCTTGGGCCCCCCGCCCGGCCCTCCCCAGGGGGTCCCCCTATCCCGGCCCGATATCTTCGAGCCGCGCGCGCAGCCCTCGGCAACGGCGGCGCTCGGCGTGCGGCCCACGAGGTCCCCCAAGAGATTGCCCCAGGGCGGGCCAGTAGGCCTCCAAAAGGAGGCCCCAAGGCGGCCCAGGGCGGCCCCAAGAGGGGGATCAGGGCACAACAGAAAGCTCGAGCCTCTCGCCCCGAGGGGGCCCCCGAGATCGCCGGCGGGCTCCCAGGAGGCCCACAGGCCCCCAGAAACGCCGGGAAACCGTCGAGTCGACGACGGACTCGAACCTAAGTGGTCGAGGGGAGGGGCGGGTGGACGCGGGGATTGGCGTGCCTTTCTCGCTCGTCCTGGGAAGTGAGTCCTGACCCAGATTCCGAAGGGGATCCAGCCGTGGCGATGAGAGAAGCCTCACGAAGACCCAATAGAAGCAAATGGGCATTCGAAAATCTGGCCCCCCCGATCCTCCTCCTCCGAGGGGCGCGGATTGATGCCCAGACCTCTGACGACTCGATTCGGGCAGAGACTCGGGTTCGGAGGACTCGGGTTGTCATGATAGGGCCACCATGAAAATGACGAAACCCAAAATGAAGTTTGTCGCGAACTCTCGCTGCAAATATTCCACGAGAACTGAATCGCCAAAATCCAAGGCGGGCTCCTCAACTAAGCGTAGGCGGACCCGAGCTCAAGCGGACTCGAGTCTTATGTTTCCCCGATCGTTCTGCTCGAGTTAGGTCGGGCATGTCCTCCTACGGGGGAATCTTGGAGGACAAATAAAAAAATAGTCAACAAATACTCCCGAATGGTCAAAACTAGTCGAAACATCGTCCCCAGACTATTTTTTGCATACTTCGGAATGTTCCTCCTCGAGAGGGACAGGCCCAACTTCATGCTCGAGTCCCGGGGACCTCTTCGGCTAGACGCAAGAGTGACCCTAGGCAAGAGTGACCTTTGGTGTCGGCTTGCTGGTGGACGCGGGGTGGCCAAACCCAGGCACGCAAGACGCTGCTGCCGCTGCGCGCTCAGCGACGGGGGGACCCCCTTGGGCCCGCACCAGAGGTCACCTTGGCGAAAGGTCACTCTTACGTGTAGTGTTATGTCGGGTCCCCCTACAAGGGGAGCTTCGACGAAAAATTAAAACTACCCCAGACAGAATCAAACCCTTGTCCAAAAATAGTCTGGGGCCCATGTTTTGAATATCTTCTGACCCTTTGGGGGCATTCTTGGGGCAT